ACATCAAATATATATGTGTATAAAACATCAAAAAATAATATTGATTAGAAATAATAAAAAAATACTTTTTAAAATAGTCATTATTTTTCTACTCGTGAAATGTAAAATTACGACAGAAAGTGTCTTCTTACGTCTAATAGTAAAAACTTTAAAGGCTAAGTGTTTTAAAATATATCTCTGCAAATGCAATGTATGTAAGCATTTCAATGTAAATACAAGGAATAACATGTAGTGAGTTTAATTTTTACAGATCCCCAAATGGAGCTCATGGCAGGTTAAGAGAGAGGAACAATACGAAGCACCCTGCTTTAATGTAATTATGTAATGAGCATTAAATTATTAAGAGAAGAAGCCTTGATCATTTTTCTCTCATTTGTTTTGAGTTGTTAAGCTAATCTCTTAACTATTATGAATAATTCAGTTATCTTTTGAAAAAGCTTTATGAGAGTTTGCTCGTAAATTTTTTTGCTTTACTTTCAATTGATTTAAATTTGAATAACAATATGACGGAATGATAAACATATTTATACTATTTAATAAATAAACATAGCATCAACTCAAATATGAGTTTCCACTAAAAATAACGCTTAAGTAATAAAATATGAGAAATGATGGATAGCGACTCGGATTGAGGAACAGATGCTAATAACCTTGAGAAAGGTATGGATCCTCTTTTCCTACCCCCAGCTATGGGTAAATAACAGGGCAGACCGGGTTCTATAGCCCTGGGTGGCAATCGGTCTACCGCAGAAAGAAATAGCAACCTACTGCGGGAAAAAAAATCTGCATCATCAGTCATGTATCGAAAGATACATGAACGCGTGTATCACGCGTGGTACATAACTGACTGACTAACAGTCACTTTTTAAGAACTGTTTTGTACATATATATGTAAACAAAACTGCTCTGATTTACACGTCTGAGGTAACCTTTTTTGGTTATCAACATGGCTGATGCTAACCTCCAGGAGAGTGACTTACGACTTCTAGGGCTAAAGTTTTTTCTCTGCTAGGTCTGCTTTGAAAGATGGTTCACTGAGTGGTGCTAGATGATCTTTCGGATCAGAATCTTTCTTACACAGTTTACCATTCGTCCACGCATTGAATATTGTTGTCACACCTGGCCCGGCGCTTCTGATACGTATTTAGAGATTCTTTAAGACATCCTAAGAAGAATCTGCAATATTATCAGTATTGACCCAGATCCACGGTTTCTGTAAACTTCCCACCACCATTTTCATATAATCATGGTTTTGATGACTTTTTCTCTTTAGTGCCACGGCTTTATGCATTTAAGCGTGTGGCACCCTGCATTATTAGAAAACTAAAAAGAGATAATCATAGAAATATGATTTAATTTTTATTCGGTTTATTAACCAGTTAATATTTATTTAGAGATGAAGAATAATTGAGTTTTGAGAATAATTCTCTAACTGTATTTAGGCGATCCGAGGGAAGAAGAAGGAAGAAAGAAAGAAAGAAAAAGAGAAGGAGAAATAGATAGTATAAAACCCGGTCATAAGAAAAACTAAGACAAGACGGGTGTCAAAAGATATCCAGGTCAAAGTACCTGACCGAAATCCAGAAAAATAGAAATTGTTATTTGAAAGAATAGAGTTTAGAAATAATAAAAAGAAAGAAATGGAAAAGACATGACATCAAGACGGGCCGCAAGCGGATAGGCACACGTACGATTGATAAATACCAGATATCGGTCAAAGCACCTGACCTACTTTCGTGTCCGCGGAGTATGGGAGTTCATTATCAATTTGGTTGAGGAAATGGGATTTTTAGAACAATGGAAAAAAAAAATTAATAAGTGACAATCGAAAAGGGTGTCATTGAGTTGATAAGTGACCGCTGGAATTGTATACATTAGTATACAAATCCTGACCAGCTCTAGAGTTAAAGGTAAGGACCACCCAAAAATGATGAGTGGAAGATATTTTCAATTCAGATAATTAAAATTTTATTAACAGGCCTGAGCGAAAGAAAGAGGTGAAAGCAATTGTTTTAGCTCACAGAGGGCGCCAGCAGGGCGAGAAAAATTCTTCCTGAAGTCACATCTAATTATCGGCGGGCTAGTTTGACAAATACCGCGTACGAAAAGGACAATTTGGATTTTGTTTTTTTTAGCAAGGTGTTTCTTCCCCAGAACAAAGCCCCGGATTGACCACGCCCGATTGGAGACGTCACGAAGGAAGGAGGGACGCTCGACCAGGGTCTCATTGGCCGAGGGCAGTCACATGATACATGAGGGAGGAGGAAAGACGCTCGAGAGCGGTCACCTGACATACGAGAGACCAGGGGAAACGGGTATGCGCCTCCCCCCAGAGGCACTGTGAGGAAGTAGGAGTGAAAGTAAGAGCGATAATGGGAAATCAGAAATAATGCGACTTTTGGAATTATCAAGAATACCCTGGCGCCAACAGACCCACCCCAGTTTGTTGCGGCGTCAATAAAAGCAGGGCCCCAATCGACAGAAATCAGTTGCAGCTGGACCGCGGACAGCGAAGGAGCTTGAACGCGGGCGTCGGGCCCGGTTCATTCGCCCCTTTGCGGGCAAGAGAATCGGAGGAAGAAATTCGTCCAGCCCAAGTCGAAGTGAAGAAAATTGCCCGAAAGCCCTAAGAAGAGTTGGAGCTGCAGCCCGAAAGTCGATGAGAAGTTAAGTTGGAGTTGCAGGCCAAACAGGCAGAAGAGTTCAGCCCCGGACGGCAGAGAGAAGAGTTCAGCCCCGGACGGCAGAGAGAAGAGTTCAGCCCCGAACGACAGAGAGAAGAGTTCGGACCTTGGCGAGAAGAAGTTGCAGTTGGAGTTGGAATCACACCAAGCCTATGAAGAGAAATTCGTCCAAGACAAGTCGAAGTGAATAAATTCGTCCAAACCAAACCTAAGAATAGAAATTCGTCCAACCCAAATCGAAGTGAAGAAATTCGTCCAAACCAAACCTAAGAATAGAAATTCGTCCAACTCAAGCCGAAGTGAATAAGCTCGTCCAACTCAAGCTGAAGAGAAGAAGTCGATTCGCGCACTGACGGCGAGAAGAACCAGCCGTGAACGACAGGTAGAGATCAGCGCCCAGTGTCGAAACCAAACCACACCCCGACATGCAAATTTCTAGAGAGTAGGCAACTCGAAGTCTTTAAGTTGTATGGTAGAAGCTTGGTGCCACAGTCCACAAAACGGGTCGGGAAGTAGGAATAATTTTTATGTAACGAACATTTAGATATAAAAGGTTGTTACCCTTTTTATCAGTAATTTTTGGCCTCGTGAGTTTTTCTTTTACTTGTGTGTTACCACCCCGTCTAACTCAGCTTGCATACGGCCCCAATCCCTGTTTGATCCCGTCTGCTCCAAGATCTAATCACAACGTGGGTAGGCAGACCGGAGATCAGTGCAGTTACCCTAGTAACCAGGCGTTGGAAGCGAGTTGGGAACGGCGAGGCTGGTAATCATCTAACCAAAGGGTTAGAACGTCACACTTGGAGCCGCGAACGAGATCGAACGACAGAGTCGACGCTGCGACCAGGGGGGGGGGGCGACGTCACAATCGGCGCCGCGACCAGGATCAACCCTGGACCAAGCGACGTCACAGCGCATTACTAGGTTGGCGGTTAGGTCTCACCATTTTATTGTTGAATTTCCTAGATTCAACTATAAGTATGTTACCAGTTTATTCCCACACACTTCTCGCTTATGAAACTCCTGCTTTCTAGACAATTTTGATCTTCAAAAATTTAAATGCAATATCTATCGTCATCTTCTGTACACTTAATTCGTGTTCTTTTTATTGACCTCTTTTTTTTTTTTTTCTCTCAGATTCTTTCAGACACAGTAGCCCCTTGTGTCTAGTAGTTTTATCGTGTTACTTGGGTTGGGGGGATTTTAAAAAAATACCTGGTTTCCAATCAACTAGTCGATTCTATTATTTAACAGTTTGTAGGTGGGAGAAAAGATGATTTCATTACTTTCCCTAATGAAAGTGAATATAACGAAATCGGCTGTAATTCGAACTAAACTCACCAATTTTTAATCCCGACCAGCTAAACATTACGCCATATTACAGCTGGAAGATATTTATATACTAATGTGTCCTCAGTACTTTTTTCGGTCAGCTAAACTCCCGTCTTTTGTTACCGTTGAGGGTTTCTCCCCTTTTTACACAAATGGACTCACCCAGTATATACATATACTACGGCTACGTAAAGACCCGAGAGAGCTAGACCGAGGAGTCGAGTTGAGTTCAGAGTGACAGAGTAAAAGGTTGTAGGTAACCGGAAGAGTGAGGATGAGGTAACAGCGTTGTAGGAGTCACAGTGAGCGAGCACGTAGACTCAGTAAGAAGTCATACAGCGATACTTCAATACCAAAGACTGTATATATATTTTGCTACTAACACGTATTCCTGGAACTACTAAACTGCTTTACCAGTTTGTATTATAACGTTAATACATTATTTTCATATATTCATTCCTGGTGTTTGTTATTTATTGGTACCGTATTTCAACCCGGAATACACAACAGTTACCAATGTTGTTTCCAGTACTTTTCGCTTGATTTATTCTGTAACCTTTTTCAGGTGTACAATCTGTAACTAAGGCGATACTCGTCATTTTTCCTGCGTTTTGGCCACATGAGGAAGTCCGTCAAATGGATTAACCGAAACGCTGTAGGAACAGAATCATCATCAGAAAGAATGATTTCCATTTTCCGAACGTGGCTTGGAACAAAGCGACATAGTTCTCCATATTATTTCATTGTGCTAATCAATTTTCTTTGGCACTATTTGAGGATTTTCTTCCAAAAGTAAAGCTCAAAGACAAATGAAAACATCCTCTAGAGATGAATTCTTGAAATGAAACTGTCAAATTTCCAGACTTGTTGCCAATCATCCAATTCTTTGATGTCTTGAAATTTTAATTTGGTCCTCGGCACAGATCTATTCTCTACAGAATATCCCATCTTCAAAGCAACAGGAATTAGTCATCCCGAAGCAAAATGTGTGCAATCTTTAACATACCACGGGAAAAGTACGAACACTTTAAGTAATTTACACTTCCTTATTGCTCATATTAAAATGTAATTGGAAGTTTGGCATCTTTACGAATGGAATCGGTATCATATAGAAAATATTTATTTTCTTAGATCCGTTTGTGGCTAAGGAATTCAGCTGAATTTACACATTCACCAAACTTAGAGAATTCGGTTAGGATTTATTTTGGTGGGAATAATCTTTTATTCTTTCAATTTATCTTCGTTTATTTCTAATTTTTAAGCAAGTTCACCCCAAGCAAGGCAGTAAAGCCACTTCCTTTCTTTCTTTCTACCTTTCTTTCTTTCTTTCTTTCTTTCTTTCTTTCTTTCTTTCTTTCTTTCTTTCTTTCTTTCTTTCTTTCTTTCTTTCTTTCTTTCTTTCTTTCTTTCTACTTTTTATCTTTTAAGCAAGTTCACCCCAAGCAAGGCAGTAAAGCCACTTCCTTTCTTTCTTTCTACCTTTCTTTCTTTCTTTCTTTCTTTCTTTCTTTCTTTCTTTCTTTCTTTCTTTTCTTTTTTTTCTTTCTTTCTTTCTTCTTTCTTTCTTTCTTTCTTTCTTTCTTTCTTTTCTTTCTTTCTTTCTTTCTTTACTTTTTATCTTTTAAGCAAGTTCACCCCAAGCAAGGCAGTAAAGCCACTTCCTTTCTTTCTTTCTACCTTTCTTTCTTTCTTTCTACCTTTCTTTCTTTCTTTCTTTCTTTCTTTCTTTCTTTCTTTCTTTCTACTTTTTATCTTTTAAGCAAGTTCACCCCAAGCAAGGCAGTAAAGCCACTTCCTTTCTTTCTTTCTACCTTTCTTTCTTTCTTTCTTTCTTTCTACTTTTTATCTTTTAAGCAAGTTCACCCCAAGCAAGGCAGTAAAGCCACTTCCTTTCTTTCTTTCTACCTTTCTTTCTTTCTTTCTTTCTTTCTTTCTTTCTTTCTTTCTTTCTTTCTTTCTTTCTTTCTTTCTTTCTTTCTTTCTCTTTCTTTTCTTTCTTTCTTTTCTTTCTTTCTTTCTTTCTTTCTTTACTTTTTTTTATCTTTTAAGCAAGTTCACCCCAAGCAAGGCAGTAAAGCCACTTCCTTTCTTTCTTTCTACCTTTCTTTTCTTTCTTTCTTTCTTTCTAGTGGTGAAATGATTTAAAAAAAACATACTATGGACAGAACATGTGGGCAACGAATAAGTTTTAAAGGAAAAAGTGGGCACGAAAAGAACCCTTATGTTTAGAGTCACAAAAAGAGGGCCTGGAAAATTTGACGCTTACATATTGAAGGCAAGAGGGACAGAAAGAAACAGCATATCATCGAGTTAAGGACTTAACGTGTCAAAGAAGGGCCAACTACGGTAGGGGAAGGATAGTCATGGGATAAACTTTGCTTAGTGCTACGAAGGCTAGGAAGTTTTGGGGAGAAATGATTTCATGGAAATTCACAGATATTAATAATACTAATAATAATGACGCGGTTGCAGATAGGACATGGGACAATTTTATGAGACTTTACAATACACACAGAACAATCAAAGCTAATCGCCCAGACATCGTGATCAAAGACCACTTGAACAGAATGTGTTTTCTTATTGACATGACAGTTCCAGCAGATTGTAACGTATCTTTGATGATATTAAAAAAACCAAAAACTATCAAAATACAAAGATCTTGAAATGGAAATCTCAAAAATGTGGTACACGAGGACATCTTATAATTCCAATTGTAGTTGTAACCTTTGGATTTATTGGAAAAAAAGTCCCCATACTCGTTTAATGGGATTCCTTGTTACCCTATGCCTTAAAGAAATACAAAATTTGTATTTCTTTTCTTCTTTCCGCTCTTTCTTACCGCTTTTTTATCGCATTACGAAGAGCCTTCCTTCCTTTCTTTCTTTTTCTTTTTTCTTTCTTTCTTTCTTTCTCTCTATGTAAAATGTATGTGATATTAGTTTGTTATTTTTTGTTTTCGTTTTTTGTTTTCTTACAAAAAATGATCAGTGGAAGATGTCATGAAGGCGTTTCTGACCATAGGTCTCTGGTTGGGACCGGAAGGAAGTATGTATACAACAGAATTCAAAGGAAATAATAATAATAATAATAATAATAATAATAATAGCACAAAAAACAGAATGTGCTTTTTTATTGACTTGGCAGTCCCCGCAGATTGTAACGTATCTTTGAAGATCTTCAAAAAACTATCAAAATACAAGGATTTTGAGTGTAAATCTAAAAACAAGGCATATGAGGAGGTCAATAATTCCAGTTGTATTTGGAGTTCTCGGATTGAGTGGAAAAGGCTCCGACAGACTCATTGAAGGGATTCCTGGTAGTCATTGCCTTAAAGAAATACACAAAAAATGTATTCACATGTTACGAAGAAACTCTGTCTTTATTTATGTACCTTTCTTTTCTTTCTTTCTTTCTTTCTTTGTTTTTTTTTATTTTTTAAGATTGTAAAACCACTTTTTTTTTTTTTTTTTTTTTTTTCTTTGAACCTATTTCTGACCTTAGGTCTCTGGTTGAGACCCAGAAGGAAATGAGTATGCAACAAAAATATTAGGAAATAATAATAATAATAATAATAATAATAATTGTATAATTTTTGTTCTAAAATTCTGTTGAGCACTCTTACCAACAAAATTCTGTCCAACTTCACTTACGTTAAATTACAGACTTTTACGTATATCAATAACAATAATAATAATAATTATTATTATTAGTAGTAGCAAGTATACAGCCACTTCTTTTTTTCATTCGATCTTCCCCATCTCTCTGCATTTATGTGTTTTCCTCTTTTTTCTTTCTCTCCTCTCTCTCTCTCTCTTTCTCTCTCTCTCTCTTTCTCTTTCTGTGGAGATTTATGGTCGCCTACGTCCTGGACTTTTCCCGCGATAGTACAATAAGTGAGAAAGTTTAAAAATTATTTGGTAAACACATTCTTACCGTACATTTATTTTCGAGCCACTGGAGAGGCCGTGTCAATGTTTGGTGCTCCCGGCTGGGACATTAACTAGAACCTTAAACTTTAGGTTTCATAGAACCGATACTCGGTTGCTGAGTGCTATACTTAACATTCCATGGATACAACATCCAACTAAATCACAGCTCTATGGCCCATCCCCGATATTTCTACAATCTTACGCGAACGCAGAATGCACCTTGCTGGACACTGCTGGCGAGCACAACAAGAACTTTCGAGGGATTTACTTCTGTGGACTTATAGCCGTGGAATAAGACGGGTCGGCCGCATAATACCAACCTATATTGACCAGCTGTTATTACACAGAATAGCAGAACAGATTGGTTCTTTAGACTTGGTTGGAAACCAGTCTATTGCCTTAGAAAAGATATGGCGGAATAAATCTGCCTCGTTAGTCATGTATCGAAAGATTCATGATCGCCGAAGTGTGTATCAGGTTTGGCACTTAACTGACTGACTGAAGGAGCAGGGCATTAAAAAAAATTGGTCTAGTGTACATCTGTTAATGTTAATGTTTGATGCTACCGCCTGGACATTAACTAGAATTGTAAACTCTAAAGCTGGATAGAACCGATGCTCGATGCTTAGCGCTATCCTAACATCCTATGGATACAACATCCAACTAAATCACAGCTCTATGGACCCATCCCCGATATTTCTACAATCTTACGCGAACGAAGAATGCACCTTGCTGGACACTGCTGGCGAGCACAACAAGAACTTGCGACGGATCTACTTCTCTGGACTGATAGCCATGGAATAAGACGGGTCGGCCGTATAATACCAACCTAGATTGACCAGCTATGTTATTACACACAATAGCAGAACAGATTGGTTCTTTAGACTTTGTTGGCAATCACTCTATCGTAGAAAGATATGGCAACCTACTGCCAGAATAAATCTGCCTCGTTACTCATGTATCGAAAGATACATGATCGCCGAAGTGTGTATCAGGTTTAGCAATTAACTGACTGACTGAAGGAGCAGGGCATTAAAAAGAATTGGTCTAGTGTACATCTATTAATGTTAATGTTGGTGCTACCACCTGAACATTAACTAGAACCTTAAACTCTAGGCTTCATAGAACCGATGCTCGGATGCTGAGAGCTATACTTGAGATCCCATGGATACAACATCCAAGTAAATTACAGCTCTATGGACCCATCCCTGATATTTCTACAATCTTACGCGAAAGAAGAATGCACCTTGCTGGACACTGCTGGCGAGCACAAGAACTTGCGAGTGATCTACAGCCCTAGACTTCTAGCCATGAAGAAAGACAAGTTGGTCGCCCAGCAACCACTTACACTGACCAGTAGGACACAGGATGTCAACCTAATCATCTTCGGAACTTGATTCAGCATTGTGATAGTTGGCGTGATAGACCCATTAATGTCCGAGAGATAGCTCGACCGAATAAAACATAATAAATATATAAACGTTCTGAAAGGGGAAGAATCTACGTTGTGGTGTCATGGATATCGTCTCGGAGAAGTCGGAAAACCGAGTTCGAATTCCAGTCAAGTTTGTTAGCGTCACTTACGCACAAATACCCTTTCGAAAGGTATGATTCCATCTCTTCTCTACCCCCAACTATGAATAGCAGAACAGATTGGTTATTTAGACTTGGTTGGCAACCAGTCTATTGTAGAAAGATATGGCAACCTACTGCGGGAATAAATCTGCTTCGTTAGTCATGTATCGAAAGATTCATGATCGCCGAAGTGTGTATCAGGTTTGGCACTTAACTGACTGACTGAAGAAGCAGGGCATTAAATAGAATTGGTCCAGTGTACATCTATTAATGTTAATGTTTGGTGCTACCGGCTGGGACATTAACTAGAACCTTAAACTCTAGGCTTGATAGAACCGATACTCGGATGCTGAGTGCTATACTAACATCCCATGGATACAACATCCAACTAAATTACAGCTCTATGGACGCATCCCTGATATTTCTACAATCTTACGCGAACGAAGAATGCACCTTACTGAATACTGCTGGCGAGCACAACAAGAACTTGCGACGGATCTACTTTTCTGGACTTATAGCCACGGAATAAGACGGGTTGGCCGTATAATACCAACCTACATTGACCAGCTATGTTATTACACACAATAGCTGAATAGATTGGTTCTTTAGACTTGGTTGGCAACCATTCTCTCGCCGGAATAAATAACCTACTGCCGGAATAAATCTGCCTCGTTAGTCATGTATCGAAAGATACATGATCGCCGAAATGTGTATCAGGTTTAGCAATTAACTGACTGATTTAAAAAGAATCGGTCCATTGTCCCTCTGTTAAGCTTTTAAGAATCGCAACAGAAACCGTGATTTGGATTTAAAAGTTATTTATTATTTATTCTTTCGGCAGTGGTAAAGAAACCCGATTATTTTCAAAACTTTCTACCCACCTGTTGATTTTATCCTAATTCAGCTGGGGACTAAATTTGGTGAAATGGTTTTAGCAAGAAAGTCTTGTACAAAGTTCACTTGATGACAATCGCTGTCAAAATGAAGTGTGTAATTTAACTCCGGTAAATTGTCGCTTATCAAATTGGTGTGATGGGATTTTCTTTTGGTTGTTTGACTTACGTTCGTCGGGGATCATTTTCTTTGCAGTCAACGCCTTCTGGGACGCATCTTTTCGAGTTATCAGCCATTTTGTTTTTTTTATGATATTATCTTTCACTTCGTCTACTGATTGTTTTAATGACTCCTTTTACGTCTCCCGTCTTTATTATCTGTCTTACATTTCCAGTTTCCTGTCCTCTTAGTTCTTTGGGTTTACTTTTTTTTTCTCACACACTTTTCATTTTTCTTTTTCAATTTTCTTCTCTTTTTTCATTTCATTCTCTCTCGTTCGCTCTTTCCGGCTTTTCCTGCTATCTCTTTTCATATTCTTCCCTCTCATTCTCAGTATTTATTCTTTCTTTCTCTCTTCTTCTTTCCGTCACCCTCGTTCTCTCTGTCTAACATTACTATATCTTTTCAGCACTTTATTCCCTCTTGTTCTTTCTTTACACCTTTTTTTCTCTTTCAGCTTCACTTTTGTTCATTTTGTTCGCCCCTCTCTCTCTATGTCTCTCTCTATCTATCTAGTGATTTTCCAAGCGTAGCTTAGATGTGGCACAAGGCCGAAAGTATGGGGCACCCAGTGAGGATCGAACTCACTACTCGTAATTGTTCTAGCCAGACAAGCTTGCTAACCATTACACCACCTCGAGGTGCCCCTCTCTCTATCTATCTATCTATCTGAATCTGTTCTTATCTCTCTATATGATTTTATTCTTATCTATCTATCTATCTATCTATCTATCTATCTATCTATCTATCTATCTCAGTCTGTTTATATCTATCTATCTATCTATATCTATTTCAGTCTGTTCATATCTATCTATCTATCTCAGTGTTCATATCTATCTATCTCAGTCTGCTCATATCTATCTATCTATCTATCTATCTATCTATCTATCTATCTAAAAATCTTTTTTTTTTCCGTTTCTTTCACTCTATTTCTGTTTCTCTTGTGCTCCCCCCTCTATTCAGGTTCTTTTTTTGTGCCATCATTTTAATTTATTTTCTCTTTCAACCCTTTTTCCTCTTTCATCTTGATTTTCTTCTTCTTCATCATTTTGTCATTTTAGCTTCTTTATATATTTCCCCTTTTGTTCTCGTTTTTTCTTTCCCTCTTCAACAACTTTCTTTGTTTTTTTTCTTTCAATTTCTTCCCCTCGCTCTCTCTCTTTTTCAGCTTATCTCTCTTTGTCTCTTTTCAGACTCTTTCCCCTCGTTCTGATTTTTCACCTTCTTTATCCTCGTTCTCTCTTTTCAGCATTGCTTCCCCTCTTTCTCTCTCTTTTTCTCTGTTTCTATTATTTTCGTTCTGCTTCGCCTGTCCTTTTCGAATTCATTCTCTCTTTCCATCTTTTCTTTCTCTCTTTTTCATTTTCTTCTATCACGATCTCTGTTTTCAGTATTTCTTTCTCATTCAATTATTTATTTTTTCACTCGGTATTTTTATTCCTGTCATCATTTTTTTTATCTCTCTTTTCGGCTTCTCTTATCCTTTTTCAGTTTCTTCTTCGTCCTTGCTTTCAGAATGTTATTTCTTATATTTATCCTTTCTTTCTTTCTTTCTTTCTTTCTTTCTTTCTTTCTTTCTTTCTTTCTTTCTTATTACCTTTCTTCATACCTTCCTTTCTTTCTTTCTTTCTTTCTTTCTTTCTTTCTTTCTTTCTTTCTTTCTTTCTTTCTTATTACCTTTCTTCATACCTTCCTTTCTTTCTTTCTTTCTTTCTTTCTTTCTTTCTTTCTTTCTTATTACCTTTCTTCATACCTTCCTTTTTTTCTTTCTTTCTTTCTTTCTTATTACCTTTCTTCATACCTTCCTTTCTTTCTTTCTTTCTTTCTTTCTTTCTTTCTTTCTTTCTTTCTTTCTTTCTTATTACCTTTCTTCATACCTTCCTTTCTTTCTTTCTTTCTTATTACTTTTCTTCATACCTTCCTTTCTTTCTTCCTTTCTTTCTTTCTTTCTTTCTTTCTTTCTTTCTTTCTTTCTTTTACCTTTCTTCATACCTTCCTTTCTTTCTTTCTTTCTTTCTTTCTTTCTTTCTTTCTTTCTTTCTTTCTTTCTTTCTTTCTTTCTTTCTTTTTTACCTTTCTTTCTTACCTTCCTTTCTTTCTTTCTTCCTTTTCTTTCTTTCTTTTCTTTCTTTCTTATTACCTTTCTTTCTACCTTTCTTTTTTTTCTTTCTTTCTTTCTTTCTTTCTTTCATATTACCTTTCTTCATACCTTCCTTCCTTTCTTTCTTTCTTTCTTTCTTTTACCTTTCTTTCTTACCTTCCTTCCTTCCTTTCTTTCTTTCTTTCTTTTCTTTCTTTCTTTCTTTCTTTCTTTCTTTCTTTCTTTACCTTTCTTCTTTCCTTCCTTCCTTCCTTTCTTTCTTTCTTTCTTTTTTCTTTCTTATTACCTTTTTCATACCTTTCTTTCTTTCTTTCTTTCTTTCTTTCTTTCTTTCTTTCTTTCTTTCTTATTACCTTTCTTCATACCTTCCTTCCTTCCTTCCTTCCTTCCTTTCTTTCTTTCTTTCTTTCTTTCTTTCTTTCTTTCTTTCTTTCTTTCTTTCTTTCTTTCTATTCATTTCCATACCTCTCGTTTTATCTTTTCCGAATTTTCCTTCTTTCATTTTCTCCATTTGCTTTCTGCCTTGGCTTTTTTTTTCATCTTTTTCTTCAGCTTCTTTTTCTCCTCTCAGCTTTTCTCATCTTCTCCCCTTCATATGTTTTCCCTCTTATTTATCACTTCTTTCTTTCTATTCATTTCCTTACCCCGCTTTTTCTCTTTTCAGTATTTTTCTCACACTTTCATTCTCTTTATTCGCTTTTGGCGTTTTTTCCACCTCTTTTCGGTTTTCCCTCCTTTTCTCCTTTAGATGTTTTCTCTCTTATTTATCATTTCTTTCTTTCTATTCATTTCCCTCCCTCTGCGTTTTCTCTTGTTTACTTCTCGTTCTCTCTCTCTCTCTCTTTTCAGCTTTTTCTTCTGTTTCTCCTTCACATGTTTACTCTCTTATTTAGCGTTTCTTTCTCTCTATTCATTTCCCTCCTTCTGCGTTTTCTCTTGCTTACTTCTCTCTCTCTCTTTTCAACCTTTCCTTCTGTTTCTCCTTCACATGTTCCCTCTCTTATTTAGCATTTCTTTCTTTCAATTCATTTAATTCCTCTCTTTTCAGTATTTCCCTCACTCTTCTATTTCCTCTATTCGCTTTTTTCTTTCTTTCTTTTCAGTCTCTCTCTCTCTCTCTCTCTCTCTCTCTCTCTATTTCTTCAGCCTTTCCTTGGTTCTTCTCTTTGATTCTCTTCTCTCTCTTTTTCAGCTCTTCTTTCCCTCAATTCATATTTTTCTCTCTCGTTTTTTCTTTACCGTTTTTAGTTATCCCTCTCCAACTCTTTCTTACCTTTGTCGTTTCTTCCCATCTTTCTCTTTCATTTTCACAGCATCAAGAGAACAAAGGATACTCTCAATTGTCAAAACATCGTTTGAAGTTTTAATGACTCTCCTCAAAGTTACAGACGGCTTTATAAAACGTAGCAGAGTGAATCATTGTAAGAGTGTAGTTTGCAAGATGATTTACTAAAGTAAGTTTGCTTATATCAAATTAAACGAAGGTAAGCTAAGCTTAGAAAATGGTAAATGTTTACAATCCCAGGTTCTATCTTCACAAGAACCAGGTAAGACCGAAAAATTGATATGTCGGCTGGAGTTGCCGCATACGCACGTTCCAGCCTTTCGTTACTCTAACGCTATTTTCAAGTTGAATGTTTAGAAGAACTATATTTCTTAGTTCTTCCGGTTCAGACCTTCTCTGCTAAGAGTCTCCATACAACGTACAAAATGGAGACACATCCTTATTTCCTACTTATTCCATTGGTAAGGAGGAAATTTGGTAAAAAATAATCATTTTTAGAAAGAATACACAATGTCCTACGTATTCCATTTGTAAAGAGGAAATCTGGTTAAAAAATAATCATTTTTAGAAAGAATACACTATTTTATACGTATTCCATTGGTAAGGAAGAAATTTGGTTAAAAATAATCATTTTTAGGAAGAATACACAATTTCCTACGTATTCCATTGGTAAGGAGGAAATTTGGTTAAAAATAATCATTTTTAGAAAAAATACTCAATTTAGTATATATTCCATTGGTAAAGAAGAAATTTGGTTAAAAAATAATCATTTTTAGGAAGAATACACTATCTTCTACGTATTCCATTGGTAAGGAGGGAATTTGGTTAAAATGATCATTTTTAGAAAGAATACACAATTTCCTTTTGTATTCCATTGGTAAGGAGGAAATTTGGTTAAAAATGGTCATTTTTAGAAAAATACACAATTTCTTACGTATTCCATCGGTGAAGAGGAAATTTAAACAAAAAAAATAAATTTTAGAAAAAATGCACAATTTTGTACGTATTCCATTGGTAAGGAGGAAATTTGGTTAAAATAGTCATTTTTAGAAAAAAAATACATAATTTCTTTACCGCAAGTTATAATGGTAACGAGTGAAAAATGAACTTGACTTTTAAATACAACATTAAAAAATTAGCTAATATAGTTTCCCTTTGTCCATTCTATGAATATTTTTATTGTATTAATGAGCTCTTCTCCTTGGTACCTCAACTGTGTTAATTTTAGCGTAATACTTGATTGGCTATTAGGTCTCATCGTTTTAGGTTTATCGTCAAATCACGCCGAAACACTGGTTTTCGTTTGATCGCCTAAGTTAAGCAGTATCGATAGTGGTCACTACTTGGATGAGGCAACGCTTGGGCACATTGGGTACTATAAGTGAATCAAAGAATGAAATATATATATATATATATATATATATATATATATATATATATATATATATTTAGAAAAAAATTGTGACGCGTTTCATCCGTTGGAAGTTCATCGGATGAAACGCGTTTCAAGCTATATATATATATATATATATATATATATATATATATATATATATATATATATATATATATATATATATATATATATATATAAGTGTAACAGCAAAATTGTTCAATTCTTAGATTAAGCTTTGAACCGTTGTATCTTAGAAATGGTTAATAATATCTTACTGGAATTATCCGAAGTTTTTATAAGACTATTGAACTCTACTTTGAATAATAAGAATGTATTTAGCTTTAAGCTGAAATGATGATCCTTCTTGCTGTTGTGGCCTCCTGATCCTGTTTTCTTTTCTACTGTTTCCTCGTTTTTAAACTTATTCACCGTTCTCTTGATGATTATTGAATGAACTTTGAAAATAGAAGCCAGAGTATGAATGTTGGTACCATTACTGTGGGCCTGAATGACCTTTTTCCTCCCACCATTGCTCAATCGTGAAGACATAGTCGGACTGAAACAAAATGATTTTAACCTGTTCTCTTTCTAGCTGAATAACTCAAAAGTTTTTTCTGTGATTCTTACGACAAATGATGTCAAAATGGCTAGGCGTCTTTTTTGAAAACCTGGGCAAATGCAACTGAATTAGTTCAGTGTTTTTTATTTCTATTAGATATTAAACATTTTATGGGATGGGCAATTATCCCACGCTGTTACATCAGGTATATATATATATATATATATATATATATATATATATATATATATATATATATATATATATATATATCAGTAGCTATTAGTAATCTTCTGACTGTTTTCCAGTTTGAATTTTCAAATATGTAATCAGCAAAAACAAACACACACACACACACACACACACACACACACACACACACACACACACACACACACAAAAATCAGAGACCTGGAACTAATATTATTATTACTACGCAACAAATTTTAGAGGAATTTGCTTTTAGAGTATTTTTCTAACACATATCATGCTACGATGTGCCAATTTTGCTGTGTTACGTTACAAAATAAATACAAATGGGATCTTTATCATCGGGATGAGTGCGAACGGATACCTGGCACTATTATTATTATACTACAAATTTGATAGGAAATTGATTTTAGAGTATTTTATCTGTATTGTGCTAATAAATATCTTGATACGATGTGCCGATTTCTCTTGTGTTACTTTACAAGTGAAATAGAAATAGGATCATTATTATTACGATGAGTAATTACTACACTACACATTTGACGGGGAATTGCTTTTATTGCTTTTAAAGACTACTTTAACGGCATTGTGCTAAGAAATATCTTGCTACGAGGTGCCGTTTTGTGTTGTGTTGTGAGAGACAAGTAAAAATCGGATCATTATAATATGGAAGAAATATCAGAACTAGGAATGGATTCTAAATTCTGAATTCGAAACTAAAAGCCCTTTATTCTTACACTTTCTTCTCCCAGCGATGTCACTCAAGATAGACAGCTTGTCTATTACTTTTCTTTCTTTTATGCTCGCTGTTTGCACAGTGAGTTGATCATTTTGTACTTAATGAAGTTCTTTTTTCATTAGGTTTCATGTAAGCAAACAGAATGAATACAGACCGTGCAATGAATTCGATTATTTGGCAGTGGGTAATTAAACTAAATCTTCCTTTGAGCTCCAGAATTCGTTCTTTACATCTCAAGCCCATAAAAATGAACACTGCGCCATATTGTCGGTGGCGAGCCAATCAACATTTCTCGCTTATCGATCTTGTTTCTTCACCGTTCAGCACTTTTCTCCTCACTATTGCTCACCCTTTTTTGTTTGTTTGTATTCAGTTTATTATCTTCCGTATTCTCATATCTCTATTGCAACTTGTTCCATCTTTCCCTCTTTTAATATACCCTCCTTGGATGCTTCGCTGTGGGACAATGATTAGCAAGTCGTAACATTCCTCCTTGTTTGTTTTCCTATAAATATAGCCTTGTGCCAGACGAAGCTGGTTAAATACCTGATAGAGATCTCACTAATTCGTAAGCTATCCTCACAAAAGAATCGTTCGTCCTGGGTATGACGATAAACTACATCCGGTTGCAAGGCCTCTGATCGGGAGACTGGATGTTTTGAGGAGCGGGAAACTAACTCTTAATTGCCGTTGTTTCCAGCTGCGCCTTGACCTTTTGAGGGTCCCAGCTATGGGTAAATAGTTAACCCCCAAACTAGGGTCAAAAGTATAAAAATAGATTTTTATAGCAAAAATGCCAGCAATACATTTCTGAAAGAAATATTACTTGCAATATATTTCCCTCTAAAACACTCTACAATATTACAATATATTTCCCTCTAAAAAAACTCTACAGAAATACGTCAAGTAATCTGACCTACAAACTGATTTCTTACAAAGAATGCATATTCTATTCAACCTATCCTAAAAATTTGAAGCGGCGACAGTTTGTGTCATGCTTAAAAGCAATCGTCAGGCCTGAGGATTGCGTATAAGCAAGCAACATCGGGTATTAATTTCAATGTCCAGTTTTATATTTACATACTCTATATCACTGATAATGGGCGCTTTGAATAATAAATATAGTCAGACCTTAAAATTATAATTTAGCACACACACGCACGCGCGTGCACAAACATATATATATATATATTTCGCAGCTCATCAGTGTGGATAGACATCCGATTGCTTCAAGCCAGGATTGAAATTCGACTGATCAGTCGGAGATTTTTCCCCTAAGCTATAAGCTCACGGCAGAGAGGAAGGTGAATTTTTACGTATTCATTTTTGAATAAACACGACAGTGACTCAGAGTGCTCGATTCGCAGAAGAGCTTTGAATCATCAGCAGTAGCAGTCACTGTTTACAAATCCACTCTTTCCCTCTAAAGTGATCGACCGAATTATATTTTTTCGGGGGCGTATATATTGTCATCCACAGACAGACTGTTTCGCTGTAACACAGGTCATCAGTGTGGCTATACAGACGATTGCTTCAAGCCAGAATCAAAACCCGACTGATTTGGCATCTGATTTTTTCCCCTAAGCTATCAGCTCACAGCAGAGATTAAAGTGAATTTTTACGTATTTATTTTTGAATAAACACTTGAGTGACTCAGAGTGTTCGATTCATATAGGAGCTTTGCATTATCAGCAGTCATATTGATTGGTTACAAATTTGCGCTTTCCCTCTAAAGTGCTCGACCGAATTTTATTTTTATTGTAAAATCTGCAGTAAAAAAAAAAAAAAAAAAAAATCTGTAATCTTCTGAGACATTGCTCTAATTATTGGACTAATAATCCATGTCACGTCAACGGAAAAAAATTACATTAACACTAAATTGTGAATTACTACAATATTAAGAAAAATCTAGCGTCGCATTACTGCACTCTCAAAAAATTATTAACTGTTAATTATAGCACACATTATTTAATAAAAACATCTTTCGACAAGTATCACATCTATGCCTGAGGATGATAAATATTTTTACCGAAAGTACTTGCAAGCAATATGGTCCGAACACCTAATGCATTGCACAAGGAAAATAAGGACCGTGTCGTTCAGCGAGTGATCAGTGAGTTAATGCCTTTTTAAACTGTTAGCGAGGCGAGTTCGCCATTAATTACATTAACTTTATTGATTTATTCTTTGTATGGCTATTTTACAATAATAATTCTGCTGCATTATTTAATAATAATAATAATAATAATATATATATATATATATATATATATATATATATATATATAGAGAGTTTGCGTGAGATCTCAAAAATGGAGCACCAAGTGAGGAGGGAACTCACTTCACAGGAGTAAGTAGTCAACCAGACCAGATCACCAACAATTGATCCACATAGGTGCATCCATGCTATTTACTATGCTCAAGATAGTTCTGTACAAGTGTCGGGCACTCAGTCAGGATCGAATTCACTACTCAGTAGTAAATAGTCAATCAAACTAGGTCACCAACAATTGGTGCACGTAGGTGCATCTATGAGATTTACTGTGCTTAAGATAGTTTTGTACAAGTATCGGGCACCCAGTGTGGATCAAACTCATTACACTGTAGTAAATAGTCAACCTGACAATGTCACCAACAATTGACCCACATAGGTGCATCCATGCCATTTACTACGCTTAAGAGAGTTCTGCGTAAGTATGGGGTACCCAGTAGTAACGGTCAGTCAGACTCGCTACCCTTTTGTCTCTCCCGAGGCTCGGCATATTATTAAGTTCAGTTAGAATTTCTTTTACGTAAAAAAAACAAAACAAAAAAAAGCAAAATAAAAATAACAAACTATTCTCTTTTATTTTGATCTCTATACTTTCAAATTATCCCCCCACCATATCTTTTTTTTTTTTTTTTTCTATCCTCGCTTTTCACTCTCTTTGATCACGGGAAATATGAGATCAATTTAGATGACAAGAAACGAGATCAAAGCGCAAGGTCTGTCGGGTGCGCATGCGTGCAACCGACGGTTACTATCGAGGTTTAGAGGTAGAGTGGCGGGGTGTCGAGGGGAAACAAGAAGCTGTAGATGAAGAAATAGGATTGGAAGCAAAGTGTTTCTACTCAGGAAAAAAAAAAAAAAAAAGAAAAGAAAGAGAGAGAAAGAGAAATAGATTTTTCATAAAGTAATTAAATAATAACTCGGGGCTTTATCTGTATATTAGTAAGCCTCGTCTTTTGCAGATATCAATGGTAGCAGATTTCTTGTATGTAATACAGAGTTTCTTTTTAACTTAAAGAATTTGAGAGCAGATTTCTGGCACTGACCATCGGGCCAGTGGTAACTGTAATTGTAATTTTACCCCTTTCCCTACTAGTGTATTCATTGACCAAAGAGCCAGTACTGTTTTCGCTTAAGATTCTGTAGCGCCAGCACGAGGCTCGAAGAAAGATCGTCTATGCTAAGAAGTTACAGGCTCCATTCGCTCAAAACCGTTGATCTGAGAAAGTGGGTGTATACAGGCGACAGTTTATGCATTTCTGAACGAGTTTGATGCCATATAACGCATGCATAGTGCACCTCGAGGCGGTGTAATGGTTAGCAAGCTTGTCTCGCTAGAACAATTACGACTGAGTAGAGATTTCGATCCTCACTGGGTGCCCCATACCTCCGGACTTGTGGCACATTTAAGCTACGCTTGGAAAATCGCTATAACACATGCATATGGAAATCTCGGCCTAACAAAGCTATTCAAGAACATATTCCTGGGTATGACGATAAACTACATCCGGCACAAGGCCTTTGATCGGAGGAGTCGAGGTTTGGAGGGGCGTGGGTCGACCTATTAAACACTTTCTCTTCAAGCTTTTTTTCTTTCTTTTTAGGAAAACAGCTTTCTCAAGTCCAGTAGCGGTTATCCCTCGTTCTAATATTGATCGGAATGGGGAGGGGGAGATTTCTAAGATTTTATTTGAAGTCGTGTTGACTGTCAGCATCTTGATTATGTTATTTTCTCTTCGAGTTAGATGTGCTATCCATTTTAGTCGTTGCTGCTGTTGGTGGTCCTCAATTGATGTGGTTTCTGTTATTTGGTACAGTTCTTTTTTTGTGAATCTGTATCGCCTGTCTACAGTATTCAAAGGAGAATTATCTTTAGAACCCAAGAACCCCAGGTTTCACTCGCTCCAGGTGCTCCTGCTATATATTTAGAGCTTCTTAATAAAATTCAAAGAAGAATCTGCAATGTTATTAGTCCTGACCTGGCATAATGGCTTCAGTCCCTTTCCAACCGCCGTAACCTAGCTTCGGTGTTCCTTTTCTATAAAATCTTTCATGATAATAGTTCTGGAGACATTTTCGCTTTTGTATTCATTGCAAAATGAGGCACGGTGGAGTAATGGATAGCGACTCGGATTGAGAAATTGGAGAGCCGATTTCGAATTCCAGTCGAATCCATTACATTCACTTATGTGCTAATATTCTTGGGAAAGGTATAAATCTGTTGTGGATTCCGGGATGAAATCCGGTACCAATACACAGTCTCCGAGAAGTGCAAATCCTCGTCGCCAAGTTGTTGTGGCCGACGCGAGAGAATTTTTTTTTCTTTCCGTGTCGGTTCGAAGTTCTCGTCGCCAAGTTGTTGTCGTCGACGAGAGAGAATTTTTTTCTCTTTCCGTGTGAGTTCGAAGTCCTCGTCGCCAAGTTGTTGTGGATTCCGAGATGAAATCCGGTACCAATAAATAACAAACGCCAAGAATGAATATATGAAAATAATATATTAACGTAATAATACAAACTGGTAATGCAGGTTAGTAGTTCCAGGAATGCGGGTTAGTAGCAATATATATATATACAGTCTTTGGTATTGACGTATCACTGTATGACTTCTTACTGAGTCTACGTGCATGCTCACTGTGACTCTTGCTCGTTCGTCCTTCTTTCTTCTTCTTCTCTCGGGTATTCACTAGCAGTAGTATATGCATACCCTGGGTGTGTCCATTTGTGTAAAAAAGGGAAGAACCCCTCAACACCCCCCTTAGATTCTTTTTTGGGGGCAGTTAATATTTTTTCCTCTTATGTTCGATAATTAGAGGTTCTGTAAATTTTCTTTTTCTGCTTGTCCTTCTAATTTCTGTGTCTTCTTGTGGTCTTTGAATCTCAAATTCTTCAAAGATCGCCTCCATCGAATCGTCATTTGCTGCAGGTGACGAGCTTGGCTCCTCAACCCTTCTTTTTTGTATTTGGTCAATATGTCTTCTGTGGGTAAATTTTTCTCCTTGTATTGTGTACATCACATTTCCTAGTCTGTTAATTATTGCACCTGGTTCCCAGGAAGCCATATTGTTCCTAAACATTCTGAAATAGACCCGTTCGCCTGGTTTGAATGATCTCTTGAGTACTATAGGTGTATGCCGGTTTTTACTTTTGTTAGACAATAACTTATCAAACACTGACCGTATTTTGGGGGAAACATCACTTCCGCTGGTGAAAGACCAGATGATGTGTTCCCGTTCGTGGTTATTCTGTATACTTGGAGGAACTGTTGTATAGCTCTTTTTGTCGGTACGTCCTCTGCTTTTTTCAAAGCTCTCTTTAGCGTGTCTACAAATCTTCCGGCTTGCCTGTTAGGTCGCGGATGGTACGGAGCTATCTTAATATGCTCTACTTGATACGTTGCACAAAATTCTTGGAAGTCGCTAGAGGTAAATTGTGTACCATTATCAGTTACCAGGCAATCTACGATACCGAATCTCGCGAATAATTCGTGTAGACAATTTATAGTATTTTCCGTCGTCGGGTTTTTGAATCTGAAAACTTCTGGCCACTTGCTAAAACTATCTACCATTATTAAGTAGTAGTACCCCTCTATGGGTCCTGCATAGTCCGCATGGATTCTAGACTAAGGTCTCTCCACCTTAGGCTATCGTTTTTGTATAGTAGGTGGTGCCTTTGCTGCAGCACCACAGCCTTTACATCTTTCCACCATTTGCGTAATATCATAATCCATATTTGGCCAGTAAACGAAACTTCTCATTAGTGCTTTCATACGTTTTTTTTCCTGGATGTCCTAAATGAAAGTCCTTCAAAATCCGCCTTTGTAACGATTTTGGTATGACCACCCTTTCATTATACAATAATATGTGATCACAAATTGAAAAACTGTCTGCTAGATTCCTTTCCTTTTCTTCTATTTTTTCTTCATCTTCTGAATAAATTAATCTTTTTCCGCTTCTCTTCTTATCTCTAGCAAGGTCACAGTTAGTTCCTTTACTGTATTGTATAACACTTTACTGATTTCGTCTTCGTCTCGCAACGCCGCTATCACCGAGTCTTCCAGAGGTTCGCATTTCGCAGGTACCAATCGCGACAATCCATCAGCATGCCCAATTTTCTTCGACGGTAGGAACTCAATTTTGAAATTGTAATTCAATAAAATGGTTCCCAATCTTAGAGGTCTGTTGGCTGTGTAAATTGGTAGTCCTTTTTCGATCCAAAAATCGTAAGAAGAGGTTTATGGTCCGTTTGAAGAGTAAACTCTCTTCCATAAATATATCTGTGATAGCGAGTTATGGCGAATATTATGCCTAACGCTTCCTTTTCAATTTGCGAATAATTCCTCTCTGCTGGTAACAATGATCTAGAAGCGTGAGCTATAGGTTTCTTTGTGCCATCCTGCATCTTGTGTAGTATGCAAGCTCCTACTCCGTGTGAACTTGCGTCACTAGCAATGATGATTTCTAGTTGGGGGTTAAAATGCGTCAGTGCTAGCTCAGAAGTTAATTTTTGTATTATCTCCTTAAACGCTTTCTGACAGTCTTCCATCCAATTCCATTTGTTCTCTTTTTTCAATAACTCATTGAGAGGAGACCTCAATTTGTGCATATTTTCGATAAATTCACAGTAATAGTTCGCTAGACCAAGAAAACTTTGTAATTCTGCGATATTTTTCGGCTCAGGCATATTTTTTATTGTAGATGCCCTATCTGGATCTGGTTTTCTGACACTTTCATTAATTATATGACCTAAGTGATTGATTTCGCCAAGTTGTTGTGGATTCCGAGATGAAATCCGGTACCAATAAATAAGAAACGCCAAGAAGGAATATAGGAAAATAAATGTATTAACGTAATAATACAAACTGGTAATGCAGGTTAGTAGTTCCAGGAATGCGGTTTAGTAGCAAAATATATATAGAGAGTCTTTGGTATTGACGTATCACTGTATGACTTCTTACTGAGTCTACCTGCTTGCTCACTGTGACTCTTGCTCGTTACAACAAAATCCTATTCTTTTCCCCCAGCTATGGGTAAATAGCAGGACAGACCAGGCCCTATAGCCTTGGATGTCAACTGGTCTACCGCAGAAAGAAATGTTAACCTACTGCGGGAAGAAAATCTGTCTCGTCAGTCATGTATGAAAAGATACATGATCGCCTAAGCTTGTATCACGCATGGCACATAACTGACTGATTCATTGTAAATATTCATTGGGGTTTCATTTTTAAATGTTATTTTTATTCTCCCATCTCACCACAGATAAATTATACATATGGGAACTAGTTAAGACTACATAGAGACTTGAGGTATTATGGCGGGGGTAGTAAGAATGGTAAGTAAGAACGTGACAGATTGAAGACCAGCCTTCCGCTGTCCCTCCATTTGGCCTTGTACCACATTTTTGTCTTATAGCAAAATAAATATTACTTTCCGCAAAGGGTCTTAACTTTATAAAATTAAGCGCAGTATTAGATTAGCGGCAAGGTCACATGATTTTACAGTTGAAATGGCTAGATGTAACCGCAAGTTCAATGCTGAGAGTTTCTTCTATAACACTTCTAGCTAGTGGAAGTCTCTTCCTGCAACTTGTCTCCCAGTCAATGTTGATCTTCAAAAATGTAAATGCATTATCAATCGTTATCTTCTGTCTTCTTCATTCTTGTTCTTCATTTGTTATCACGCCTTAATAGTAGTTTTTCCCATATTGTCTTAAACTCAGTAAACCCTTTGCGTTCTAGTGTCTTTATTGCCTTGGTTGGGATGAATAATATATATATATATATATATATATATATTATAATTGTTTTTTAACATATTACCATCGCGATATCGAAATTTCCATGTTTCAAAACTGAAATTTTAATTCAAATCTAAACATAAAAATGAATCATAAAATAAAAAGTTCTGTTCCATTATCAAGCGATACTAAGAATATTCTAATTATAATATGTTCTACTGTTGTATCGAGTACTGATTTTTTTAAATAAATGCTAAGAACTCTGAATTATAAATTTAATTGTTTAATTCCATTTATCTTACTATATATATATATATATATATATATATATATAGTCATCCACATAAAAAGTTCTGTTCCATTATCAAGCGATACTAAGAATATTCTAATTATAATATGTTCTACTGTTGTATCGAGTACTGATTTTTTTAAATAAATGCTAAGAACTCTGAATTATAAATTTAATTGTTTAATTCCTATTATCTTACTATATATATATATATATATATATATAATATATATATAGTCATCCACATAAAAAGTTCTGTTCCATTATCAAGCGATACTAAGAATATTCTAATTATAATATGTTCTACTGTTGTATCGAGTACTGATTTTTTAAATAAATGCTAAGAACTCTGAATTATAAATTTAATTGTTTAATTCCTATTATCTTTTATATATATATATATATATATATATATATATATATATATATATATATATATATATATATATAGTCATCCACATACAAGCCTGTTTTGCTGAATCACAGTTCATCAATGTAGCTAGACATCCGATTGCTTGAAGCCGGTATCGATACCTGACCGAGTTGGTATCAGTCAGAGATCCTACCCGTAAACTCTCGGCATACGGCAAAGAAAAGAAAATTTGAACGTATTATATCCAGATGTATACAAATGCCAGCGGATAAAGGGCACAATTCATTAACGAAGAGCGGTGCATTAATAGCGACAGCGGCTAAGGTTTTGAAATCGCCCTTTTCTTTATAGTGCTCAATCGAATAACGAGAGCATAATAGCTTAAATAAAGATGAATAAACCGGATGGATTTAACTTATACCTTAAATATGGTCAGCAAATCTGGCTTATTAATCAACGCTAAATAAGCTGGTACAAGGGCAACATGGTGGGGCACTTAACGAAACTTGAACTGTAGTATTAAAGGTTTCCTCTTTAGTTTTGTTGTAATAGGTATTTTGTTTGCATTGGAATGTTTTCTATCTATATTATGCTGCATTTGGCACTTGAACCTCGGACAGAGTAAACGTAATCCAGTGCTTTTATAAATTAGACGTACCAGAAAATGGTTGATGAACAGTCAATAATGAAAATATCCTCTTCACCAAATCAATCTAATCATACATTTTGTTATTCAGTGAGTTTGACTTTATTGGGTGTCGTATTTCTTTTTTTTTAATCATTACTTTTTTGCTTCGATAATCAGTTAGAATCTCCATAAAATTGGCAAATATATAGGTTTTGATTTCGGATTATAGCTATTCATTCGGTTCGTTAAGTAGGTATAAAATAGACTTTTACGCAAATATTTGGTTAAGGTAGCTTGCTGTATTTACATTGCGATGATCTACCCAGAGTGTACACGAAAAAAGGCAGGCGTAATCTATCTATCTATCTATCTATCTATCTATCTATCTATCTCAGCCTTTTCATATCTATCTATCTATCTATCTATCTATCTATCTATCTATCTATCTATCTATCTATCTCAGCCTTTTTCATCTATCTATCTATCTATCTATCTCAGCTTTTTTACATTATCTATCTATCTATCTATCTATCTATCTATCTATCTCTGCCTTTTCATTATCTATATCATCTATCTATCTATCTATTTCAGCTTTTTCATATATATCTATCTATCTATCTATCTATCTATCTATCTATCTATCTATTTCAGCCTTTTCATTATCTATCTATCTATCTATCTATCTATCTCAGCCTTTTCATATCTATCTATCTATCTATCTATCTATCTATCTATCAGACCATTTTCATATGTATCAAGGCATCTGGATATATCGATTGACATCTATCTATCTATCTATCTATCTATCTATCTATCTATCTATCTATCTATCTCAGCTTTTTCATATCTATCTATGAAACTTTTTTCATATCTATCTATCTATTTCCCAGTTAGCTTCTATCTCCCAGTTGAAAATATGGATTATATGTGACCTAACGAGGAAGAAGCAGAAACATCTTTCCAAATCTAACATGTTTCTATATTTATTTAGTTTTATCTGAAACTTAGGCAAGTGAAATAACGTCGAGACATGTTTCTATTTTTAAATTCTTTGTAGTTTTATTTTCATTGGTTGCGCATATCACTTGTGATTATCTTATGGCGTTAGTGTCAATTTCTTAAATTCTAACTTTGCTTATGCTTAATCCTTGAAATGTTAACGTAATTTAAACGCGTATAAAAATTGTTTGTTAGTAAAAAATGGATAACATAGATCCAAATTTCTGAGGAATGTGAATAAAGAGCGATACATGTTAAATTTATTTAAAAATCTCTCTCTCTCTCTCTCTCTCTCTCTCTCTCTCTCTCTCTATCTATCTATCTATCTATCTATCTATTTATCTAAGTCCGATTCTATCTATCTATCTATCTATCTATCTTGTTCAAATCTATCCATCTTATTTTTTCATATCTATATATATCTTTATGCTTACATCGCTCTCTATTTACTGTAGTCTCTATTTACATCATTCTTTGTCTGTCCAAGTCCTATTTATCTATCTATCTATCTATCTATCTATCTATCTATTTCATCATCTATCTGTGTTCAATCTATCTATCTATTCTATCTATATCTATATATATATATATATATATATATATATATATATATATATATATATATATATATACTGTTATAAAGCTCTTCGTTGCACTTATAATTTACATAGTACTTCGGCAACTTTCCGTGACACCTGTATTAAGCAGACCGAGCAGTGGGATGTGAGTTGACACACGGCCAAGAATATTATGGGGAAGCCGGGCATTTTCACCCGAGCCACTGGTCAAATTTACGAAGACCTCGGAATAGCGGGCTTGGGTAGATTGCTTGTCTGTTTTTCTCAGCCGAGTTCCTGTCGATAGAAAGAGCGTCGACCGAGTCTCCCTCTGTCCGAAAACAGAGAGCTTGACAATCGGAACCAGGCAGTGGACCGCCTGCCTCAAAGCACTTTATTACATTTTTGAACTCGCTCATATAGTCACCAGTGTTTTACTATTTACTCCACAATATCCCCGTCTTTGAGATTAATACTTTTTATAAATATTTTATTTTTTATTAGTATTAGTATACCCGGCCCTCTTTCTGAAGAATTCGCCAACGTGCTCGTTTTCTGGAACTTGTCCTTGTTGGTTCTACGACTTGTTGTGGTGCTGGCACATGGAAAATATCATATAGCATTTTTAACGTTTCTTCCTATGTTTTAAGTATTTTATCGATGAACTATTTTTCAATTTATTATGGTGCCTTTTATGTTCATGTTTATCATGTAAATCAACTTCTCGATTTTTGCTGATATTATGCCATCTTCCCACGTTGTTTTGCCATCGTTATATGCTCCGAAGAACACTTGAAACTTTTGGCGTCGTATTTGTTATCCGTTCTGGTTTTTCGACTTGGCAATAACTTGTCTAACACCGATTTTCCTTTTCAAGCAAACATTAATTCCATCGGCGACATGCCTGATGGTGGATTGGGGTTACGTGTTACTCGGTAGAAAATTTTGAAGTGCTTCCTCATTTGCTTTCTCAAGATTTGCTTTCTTCAACGCTCTGCTAGGTTTGGGTGATGCGGCGGGGCCGTGATATGGAAAACATCTTACAAAAGCCTTCGAATTCTTTACCCGTGAATTGCGTTCCATTATCAGAAACCATGGTATCTGGCATGCCATATCTCGCAAATTGATTCACTGTCACTGAAGATGTTAGAGTTTTACTTATAAATTTCCTGCCATTTAGCGAAACTGTCAACTATCACAAGATAATGTGATCCATTCATAGGACCTGCAAAATCTATATGCACTGTTGACCACAGCGTGTTTTTCTTTGGCCAAGGTTTTATCTTTGTGATACGTAGTTTTGCGACCAGAGCACAACCTTTACATGTTTTCAGTATTTTTTTTTCATTATATTTGTAGATTCTGGTCCAATATATGAAACTTCTCACCGGAGATTTGATTCTTGAAATACCGGTATTTCCCCTATGAAAATCCTTCAATATTAGCTTCTGTAAGACATTAGGTATTACAACCTTTTACCCGAACATTACTACACCTTTTCATAGCGAGTAAGCGTTTAAGTCTGGATTTGATTCTTTGGTAATTTCTTTCAGTTGCTTTTTCTATTTTTATGTAGTCTATTAGTTGATTGTATAGGTATTTTTTCTGGGGGTATATTTTAACTTGCACCTGCCCTCGACGGATCTGCTTAACGACCATTTTATAAATAATTTGATACTCTCCGTTTCGGCTTAAATACTGGCGTCGAACCTGTTTTTTACTTGAAAACCCGCCCTGAATTTTGAACACAGACCCAGTTCATTTGACGGAACATCTGGAAAACCTTTTTTTTTTTTTTTACTTTCTTGATATTTTCGCTCTGATTTTTTAAATTGGTGATGCATCTACTTACGTATTTATAATAAACGTTTATCAGAAAATCACAAAGTTCAAATAGTTCCATGCAGTCAGTATCGAAAAGATTGATAGCATTTTTAAACACATAATCTTTAGTTTTTACTTCCTTCTGACGGAATGTGTTATTGCAAGTCATTCTTGAAAACAAAACAAAAAAAAATATTGAATTGCGATTTTGGAAGTCCTTTTTAATAACGACTTTCCAATTATCTTCCATGAAGTTTCACTGATTATTGAAACATCATTACCAGTGTCCAGTAGCATTTTCACACCCTCATTATTTATTTTCACATTTAAAAATTTCTTTTCGTTTTCTGTGACCATTTTTTCCGTCGCAATGTTGGGAGAATTTTGTCTTTGATAACTAATAACTGACATCCATTAGACATGGCACGTGGAATTAGAACAGTCTACCCCAGCGAGAGAAATAAAGACTTCAGTTCGACATTCCAACCACCTGAAGAAGATAGGAGCGTACAACGGCCGAAACGTCGTGATAAATGTGGCAACAAAGATGAGGACAATAGTCCGAATAATGTAAATATTGTACATAATACCTCATCTCAGAAATATAGACATATACTGAAAGGTCGAAACGTTGTAATAAATGTGGCAACAAAGATGAGGACAATAGTCCGAATAATGTAAATAGTGTACATAATACCTCATCTCAGAAATATAGACAGATACTGAAGGGCCGGGACGTTGTAATAAATATAACAACAAAGATGAGGACAATAGTCCGAATAATGTAAATAGTGTACATAATACCTCATCTCAGACATATACTAAAAGGCCGAAACGTTGTAATAAATATAACAACAAAGATGAGGACAATAGTCCGAATAATGTAAATAGTGTACATAATACTTCATCTCAGAAATATAGACAGATATTGTAACATTCTGCATTTTTAAGTCGATAGTCTTTTCCAAGATGTAATTTACTACATCCGAACCAAGGATTTATTCTCCTTTTCTTACATTTGTCTTTTGCTTGTACCAGTGAACATACTTTTTTCTGAATTTCTTCAGTATTGTGTTTCATACTTGTATGGAAATCGTCCATTATTTCTTGCAGTCTAATTTTTTATTTTCTTCAATTTTGGTTATAATTTTCGCTCCTATTTCAGCATCTTTTTAGCTGTAAGACCTTGAAAGAAAATTAACGATTTGAACATATCTGGAGTCATTTCCCATATTCTAAACATATTCCATTCTTTTTTGAAGATACCAGCATACGTGCCAAAATATTCTTTTTTACTTTTTGTTAGATCATACACTTCTAGCAAGCATTAAACAGAGAGCTCTTGTCATTAAAGATTTTCGAAGAATCTTTACTTTGTCTTCAAACCCGATTTCACCTGTTGTTTTCGGTAATATGTAGTTGCAATATGTTCCATACTCTGTTGGAGCTATGTTCCTCAACAACAATCTCATTTTTCACTCATCTTCCCAACTACTTAATTTCTGGCTGAATATTTGCTCATTTCTATGAAAATACGTAGAAAAAGTCAGTGCTTCATCAAGATTGTATACAAATTTTGAAATGGTGTTTTGGACAGCGTATGGCGTAAGAGACGTTGAAGAATTTTTTTGTTTTCTTGACACTTATACCCAACAACTCCTGTTGCTGTTTTTGTAGTTCTAGCAACTGTTGATTTTGTTGTTGGTGTTGTTTCTGTTGTTAAATTTCAACTATCGAACCAAAATTTTCTCCATATTTGCAAGAATATTTTTTCTATACTCAAGAGAAAAACATTTTTCTACACAAGTAAAACATTTTTTAAAGTAACGTGGTTAAAATTCTAGTCGTAGTCGGTATCCTTGATTCAGAAGCAACAAATATACTTTTCCCGAACATGTTCACTCAGTATGAATTTTTAAAATCCTTGTAAATTGTAAATCCTTGCATGATTTCCTGAATTCTCGTTGCTGTTATAAGTCGTAAGAGTTTCGAATTTGGCGGCACAATGGTTATAAATCGCCTGTGTTCCGAATCCCTCGTCACAACGGTTATATAACACCAGTGTTCCGAATTCCGTGTCACAACGGTTATAAATCGCCTGTGTTCCGAATCCCTCGTCACAACGTTTATAGATCACATGTGTTCCGAATCCCTCGTCACAACTGTTATAGATCGCCTCTGTTTCTAATCCCTCGTCACAACGTTATAGATCACCTGTGTTCCGAATCCCTCGTCGCAACGGTTATAAATCGTCTGTGTTCCGAATCCCTCGTCACAACGGTTATAGATCTCCTCTGTTCCGAATCCCTCGTCACAACGGTTATAAATCATCTGTGTTCCGAATCCCTCGTCACAACGGTTATATATCACCTCTGTTCCGAATCCCTCGTCACAACGGTTATAGATCACCTCCGTTCCGAATCCCTCGTCACAACGGTTATAAATCGTCTGTGTTCCGAATCCCTCGTCGCAACGGTTATATATCACCTCTGTTCTGAATCCCTCGTCACAACGGTTATAGATCACCTCTGTTCCGAATCCTTCGTCACAA